CCCCGGCGGCGCCCCGACCCGCCTCTCTTGCCCAGGTGGTGAGATGCAACACCGGCGCCGGGGCACGTTATTCGGATACAACACTCGCACCCGCCCACCGCAGCGTGTCTACTGTGCGTCTCAATCCTGTGTAAAATACGAACTGCTCCCTGACCCTGCAAGAGGAGGGAACGTTATCCCAGTACGGCTCCTCCAGCCACTGTCCGCTTGTGTCAACGTAAGAACCCCAGGCACACGCTTTTCCCTTCAGCTGCTTTCGGGGTCTACGAGGAGTTTAAAATGAAACACAAGCCATCCCTTGTTACCTGCTCCTGCGGCCCAAAGTCCCCGCAGACACCTTCAACAAGGACGCCGCCATCTTTTCCAAACCAGCCTGCCCACGGCCAGCCAATCAGCGCCTCCCCTGCGCGTTTCGTCACTGAGGATGCGTGGCCGCTGGCCAATGAGCGATAAACATGGACACGCGGACAGTGCTAATTGCGTGTCGCTGTAACAACACTCACTGTGCTTCAAGGCTGTTACCCCAAAAGGCTTTAACAGGTTTAAGATTACTCTGCTAACCTGGTAATTTTAATAAACAAGTTGGCAAAAGTCTAGATATTCGGTTTCACGAAGCAAGATTGAACTGCACCCTGTTAGATGATTATAGCAATATATCCTCATCTCGTCACCTGCTCCGGGGCAGGTGCAGTCATACGATTCACAGACCAGTCAGTCCGCTGCAAAAAACCGAGGCCAGATTCCTTCAGGGATCCGGCTGATATGAGAGCTTACTGAAGAGAATGAAAGAAGAGTGAAGGCCTTAACCCTTTACAGTTCGCTGATCATTTGTATTCGATATTTGTTTTCCTTGTGACTGGTGTATTTTTTTTTACTGTGTTGCCGACCCGAAGCGCTTCAGGGGAGCGACAGTGTTTCCTGCAGGGAGGAAAATGCTGTTCGCATTGAAATTGTTTCTGCGTCCATTCGTGACGATTCCAGGCCGCACATTAGTAAATACCATAGAAAGGGCTCCATAAAGTAGCTGGTAATATTCTCATATACAATTCTGTCCACTGTAAATGTAGCTTCTGTTCCCTACTGCCATGCACCTTGAGCTACACCTCTCTGGCAGAAGTTCCTCAGATGACAGGTGCTCTGGACTGCTCAGACATCCCCATTACAGCTCCCACAGGGCCAAACGAGGCTGATAGTTTTCTCAACAGAAGATCAATTCACAGCATCAATGTGCAGTTAAAAAAATAATTTAAAAATAAAATTGTTAGTCTTTCCGAGTCTAAAAATATGAACATTGATTACACAAAAGACGATACAAATTATTGTCATTCCCATCAGAAGAGGTTTTTAGACGCTGTGTGCCTACAATGGGTGTCACCTAAGACGCAGGCGTTCATAATGCACAGTTTCCATCAGCCCACTGTTTCCTGTGGTAAGGATCACGTGATCCATGACGCAACACGGACGTGACTCTGTCCGGGCGGGGGCCCCCGCACAGCCAGGCCAGGTGACAGCCCTGTTGCCTGTGCTGTGCTGCACAGCACTGCCACCCTCAGGAAGGAGAGAGATCCTGCACTCCACCTGTGTGCTGTGATGACCTTCTCCCATCCATCTGGATCAGCCGGGTGGCAGAGCAGAGAGGCGCACCAGAGCTGAACACCCTTCTAGTGACGCAGCCCACTCTTTTTTAGGATGTGTTTGTTTTTCTCATTTCTTCTGGCTTCATTTTCCCCCCAGTTATAATTAGGTCACTTTTGTACCTGGCTTAAGGCTTTCTGCAACCTGGGAGGAGTCTCACCTCAACTACTTGATGCCCAGAACAGAACATGTTGGGGAAAAGACAACACCCCAGTAAAGGACTGCTAATGACGATGGCTCCTGCTCCAGTCTTACTCCCCTCACACTGCCTGTTGGCTACAAGCACCTGGAGGGCTGCACTAGTAATAATAATAATAATAATAATAATAATAATAATAATATCCTCACACTTATATAGCTCTTTTCTGGACACTCCACTCAAAGCGCTTTACAGGTAATGGGGATCCCCTCCACCACCACCAGTGTGCAGCCCCACTCGGGTGATGCACCAGTCCGCTCCCCACACACCAGCTCTCAGTGGGGAGGAGAGCAGAGTAATGAAGCCAGTTCAGAGATGGGGGTTATTAGGAGGCCATGACTGGTAAAGGCCAGGGGGAAATTTGGCCAGGACACCAGGGGTACACCCCTACTCTTTTTTCAAGAAACGCCCTGGGATTTTTAATGACCACAGAGAGTCAGGACCTCGGTTTTACATCTCATCCGAAGGACGGAGCTGTTTACAGTGTAGTGTCCCTGTCACTATACTGAGGCATTAGGACCCACACAGACCGCAGGCTGAGCGCCCCCTGCTGGCCCCACTAACACCTCTTCCAGCAGCAACCTTAGCTTTCCCAGGAGTCTCCCCTCCAGGTACTGTCCAGGCTCACACTGCTGGGCTTCAGTGGGCTGCCAGCTGGGAGCTGCAGGGTGATATGGCTGCTGGTGCTAGTGCACCACTCTGTGCTGTACAGCAGCCCTGTGGATGATATTGCTGTACTGGGCGCTGTGACAGTCAGCTACGTCAGCATCAGGACAATACTGTACACCTGCACAACGGCGTCAAGAGGAGCAGCTCTTCAATGCTGTACTAATGTCGAAAATGCCTGTTTTATCATCGCACACTTTATCGCGCCGTTCCTTGCCAGGCGTCTTCTTTGGCTTCAGCTGATTTAAACCTGATAGCTGTTTTATTTTCCAGAAAGAGTAATTCATGGTCACTGGATGAAGACGCTCGTTCTGTCGCCGCCGCCGGCTCTGATGAAGGATTTGACGCTCCTTTCTCCCTTGCGGCGTGAACGCGCAGTTAGCGTGTCTGAAGTGCGGCGTGAACGCGCAATTGCCATTAGCTTGTCTGAAGTGCGGCGTGAACGCGCAATTGCCATTAGCTTGTCTGAAGTGCGGCGTGAACGCGCAGTTAGCTCGTCTGAAGTGCGGCGTGAACGCGCAGTTCCTCATATTGTTAAAACCTGAATCGCTTTAACCAGAAAACTGAAACCAGAGATTACCATCGTGAAACTCAGTCATCTGGTTATTGCAATCCTGCTAAACTGAGAAAAGCCTTAATTAGATAAACGTGCTTCGTGAAACAGCCCGCGAGCATTCAGAACAACACGCGGATTTAGCACCGCAGAACAGAGGTGTCAGCCGGCGAAGAGTCATTATTCCCCATCAGTCAGCATCCTGAAGTGCGCCGCGCTGGGCTGTCCGGCCGCCCTTCCGGGACGAGTCTGGGCTCGGCGCTCTGGAAGAGGCACCGCTGGTAAACACGTGCACTTCTAAAACAAGATTTAGTCTGCAACTGTCTGACAAACTGCGTTTATACAGCACCTTTTATCCCATTTATCTTCCTGAGTTCCTGTGTCACCTTATTCCTGCTGAACAGGCAGTAATGTGGCGGGCAGATGTTTCTGAGTTTCAGCTCCTCGCCCGTGATTGCGATACCAGCTCCAGGCTAGGGGCCTCCGGGGTGCTTCCTTCTGGACTCACACAAACACGGAAAACCTCGCACTCTCATGAATACCAGCAGTGCTACAGAGAATGGGATCCGAGTGTTTTCTGTTCTAAATTGTATTCATTAAAAAGGTGGAAACAAAAGCAGTTCAGAAATCTATCGGTGTCCTCAGCGTTACTGTGCGTAACGCTTGGCTGATGTGTTACTGTGCATAGCTCTTGGCCGATGTGTTACTGTGCGTAGTTCTTGGCTGATGTGTTACTGTGCGTAGTTCTTGGCTGATGTGTTACTGTGCGTAACTCTTGGCTGATGTGTTACTGTGCGTAGTTCTTGGCCGATGTGTTACTGTGCGTAACTCTTGGCCGGTGTGTTACTGTGCGTAGGGCTTGGCTGATGTGTCACTGTGTGTAGCTCTTGGTTGGAATAACAGGCGTGGCACAACTTCGTATCTCGTGACTGATGATCTTTCTGTTTTTGTGGACACAATAGCATGGTTCAGTAAGGCCATACCCCTGAAGTCATCACCGTTTCATGATCGTAATTTTTACAGAGCCAATATTTCCCCATTAGATTACAATTAGATTATAAACATGTGGCTGCTTTGATTTCCAAGTGGACACGGGTGGATCTGAAGTTGGAACGCATGCGTGCATAGTGCACAAAGCCGAGCTCTTTCAGAACCTCCCGGTCCGGGTTGGCACGCGTTTCAAGAGTCGGCTCTCTGACAGATGTGACCCGGGTTGCAGTGGAACCGGAAATGTTTCCCATATGCACGCTCAAAAATCCTTTCTCGCAGAAAAACACCTTTTTCCTTGACTCCTGCAGCTCCGAGGAATTTCTCGAGGCGAGAGTGTTTTCGCAGACGCGCGCTCTGTGGTCGCAGGACGCCAGGGCGGTGTGACGCACGCGGTGAAGTCGCTCCCGGACAGCGGACGGGCTCGGAGAGACGCAGGCGGACAGCGGACAGCGGACAGCGGACGGGCTCGGAGAGACGCAGGCGGACAACGGACAGCGGACGGGCTCGGAGAGACGCAGGCGGACAGCGGACAGCGGACAGCGGACGGGCTCAGACGGACAGAGGGACTGGAACAAACTGCACCATGAGAACAGCGCTCATCGCCCTGATTCTCGTCGCGTGCTCGTGCCACACTGCAGGTACGCGTCTATAAGAGCGACGAGACTTCGCCTCCAGTTGGGTTTAACACTGAAGAAAACAAGCCGGCAGTCCGTAGATAATGTCTTGCGCCTTACGCGCCAGACCAGAGGTCATCATCAGTGCCAACAGGAGTCTGTGCTCCGGCTGAGCCTTCATCGCCGAAGTGATCGGCAGAACTGGGGTTTATCAAGCGATTACAGCTCAATTCAATTAGTTGAGCTGAAAGTTAAAAGTCTTCTGTTAGGACGGAATCCGGGCACCAAACGGGTCACTCTCTCTCCCTCCGCAGGCAAGAAGTTCCGCTGGTGCTGCGTGTCGGACCGGGAGCAGAGGAAGTGTGCGGACCTGGCCCGGGCTCTGGCGGCGGTGCTGCCCGCGGCGGCTGTGGCCGCTTTCGCCAAGCTGTCCTGTATCCTGGCGCCCAGCACCGCGGACTGCATCGGCAAGATCCAGGTCCGCTGCTCCTGCCTCTCCCCCGCCTGCTCCTGTCTCTCCCCCGTCTCTCCCCCTCCTGCTCCTGTCTCTCTCCCTCCTGCTCCTGTCTCTCCCCC